ATTGAACGCGGATGCCAGGAAATCAAAAACGAAAACCAAGCATTAAAAAATAAATTAGCATTAGCCGAGGAATTATTAAAGCAACTCGAATTAGAACAAAGTCAAAAGTTAGCAGCCCAAATCCAAATTCCTCCCAAGGATTAGTAAAACGTTTGTAATAACTCGAAAATCTCCTTGTCTCTCTGTTTACAAGTTTTTCTGGGTCGGCGTTTTTTGAATAAAATCTATGTGCCTAATGCGGTTTTTTGTTGTGGTGCTAATCTCCTTTCCTTAATCACGAAAATAAATAAAATTAGAAAGATAAAATGACTGATAATAACCGGGGTAATTATTACATTATTGCCGACCATTTGCGAACTACCATTTTTGCTTTGGCTGACGGAGCCGTATTCGAACCGAAAGGACGAGGTTATATTTTGAAAAAATTAGTTAAGAAAGTGGCTTGGTTGGCTTACTTTCTTAATCTGGCCCGAGAAAATTTACGAGCCATCAGTGAAGAATTGATAACAGTTAATTCTTCTTATTATCCTTATCTACAAGAAAAAAAAGCTGCAATAATAAGTAGTATTGAAAAGGAACTTGGGAAATCTCAACAGTTAATTATTGAGGCCGTAAGAAAGTTAGATAATTATTTTTCTCCTGAGATTACGGCCCAAGACATATTTTTCTGGTATGATACCCAAGGTATTCCGCTCGCCCTAATTCAAAATTATCTAGCCTGGAAAAATTTTCCTTTTCCGGCGGCCGAATTTGAGAAATTATTGGGCGAGCAAAAAAAAAGAAGCCAAATTGACCGGAGGAAGAAAAACATAACGGCTTTTTAACCAACCTTGCCTATTTTTTGAGGCTTCGAGAGTTTAGAAGTAAGTTTATACCTTTTTCAACTCTTTCAGGTCACGTATTTTTGTTAAATTTTCTCTATTTGGCATATTCGTTTTTTGACAATATACATAATTTCACCCTCTAATCACCTACCAAAAAGAAGCCACAAACAGAAAACGAAAAAGTTTTTTTGCTTAGTTAACAGAGAAATAGTATTACCATAGCAATTTTGACAAAGCAGGAACAAAATTTAAGCCTTTTTAATTTTGTAAAACATAAAATAAGAAATAGACGGAATTCTAATTTTTAATAAAAAGGATTTTTTCCGAAAGAAAAAGGTTTGCGAGAAAAGCACAAGACCGAAGCCCAAATTAATGAATGTTGTCAAAAGATTGATGAATTAAGTAAGAGTGAAAGGAGAAGAGATAAAACAACTATGGAAGGAATTGGAAGCTGTCAAAACAGAACGAGACGGATTAAGAGATGCGACCACAAAGTTCATTCGGAACAACAACGGGGAGATTTTAGAACAAAACGAAAACAAAAAATCTATCAATAGTGAGAACAAATTAGAGATTATTAATGCTGATTATGAAAAACAACTAGCCGAGGCGAATAAGTTAAGAAGAAAAGTTAGAACAAGAAATTGAACAATGAATTGGAAAGGGCTTGAAAATAACTGAATATAAGTTTACTGATTATTTAAAATCCCAACCAAACTTTTAAATCTAGCCGAGTTGAGAAATGAGTAGCAAATAGAGTTAAAAAAACAAAAATGAACTTGAGAAATAAAAATGGATAACTCTATTTTGCACCAAAGATGAAAAAAAATATCTCTCTAAACTTAATCAGCAGGAGAGTTAAGGCTTGTTTGTTTTAATTTTGGTGTAAAAAACATTGTGTTTTCCGATTAAGCGACAATTTTTTAATTCCTTAACCATTATTACTAATTTTGCAGTCTGCAAAATGTTACTTTTCGTTTATCTCTTGCAAAATTCGCACGTTATCGGCTACCATCTTTACTATTTTTCCTCGTTCAGATAAATCTTCTTTTGCAGATAAAGTTCGCACCCGGATCTGTTTTCCTAAATATTTGCTAATTTCAGGGACTATTTCTTCCTGACCCTTCCGTGAAAGAAAATTTTTTTTGGGAGCAACAATTACTTCTCAATTGTCGCCTTTTTCCACTAGTTTAATTATTTCCAGGGGAGCCAACAATGAAAAAAGCAACTTTTCCTTGTTTTCCTCTCACTTAACTATTTCTATTCGTTCCGGAAAGATGGTTTTCAAAATGCTTCGCAAACGGGAAGAGTCTTTGCCGATACAAGTTCCTACCGCATTTAAATACGGATTTTTACTCTCCACAATTACTTTGTTAAGAAAATTGGGAAAAATCAAAATATCCCGAATAACGATTGCTTGTGCTTTGATTTCTGGCACTTCTAACTCTAACATTTTGCGTAATTCTTTTTCTTTTTGGATTTTTTCTAAATCCCAAACCAAATGTTCTTTAATTTTTTTACTTAGAGCAAAAGAGAAGGTTTTGGTATCCACTGGGTAAAAGAGAAGGTTGTCTCTAACTTTTCCTTCTTCAAGTAACGGGCTTTCGGGAGCAATTTCTCGGTGCGGATTAGTAACTTTGTCTACTATTTGGTAAAGACGATATACTATTAAGTCATGATTGAATTCAAAGTGCAATTCAGCCTCCTTATTTTCGCCCCGGCAATAAGAATTACGAAAAGCAGTTTTAATTATTTCTTGAATTTTTTCGTTGCTTACTCCTTCTCGCTGAGCTAATTTTTGAATAAACTGACGAGTACTGCTTTCGTTCAAAACGTTAACTTGGTGATATTATACTATTAATTATTGCCGTCTATTAGATTTAAAACAGTTTTGTTGGCAAGAAAAATCTGTTTACAAGCGAAAATTTTTGGGAGAAAAATTTTGATGTAGTTTCCAAAAAAAAACAGTTATCCTTGTTATTGTGGTTTCAATAACTCCGAGCAAAAGTTACAAAAAATGTTACAGCAACGGCACAAATCTTACCGCACAAAGACGTGTGTATTCTAATTCATTATTAGGATTTTTTTTCCCTAAATACAAGTATTCGTCACGCTTAGTTTTTAGTGGCAAAATCAAGCGTCCACCGGCTTTTAATTGGTGAAGCAACCGTGGTGGGACTTTTTCGTTGGCAGCAGTAATAACAATTGCTTCAAAAGGAGCAAATTATTCTCAACCTAATTTACCATCTCCAACTTTATAGCTCACATTTTTGTAACCTAGTGTGTTTAGTGTTTTTCTGGCCTTTTCACTCAATTCCTTATGTACTTCAACAGTATATACTTCCTGGACTAACCGAGCCAATACCCCCGTTTGAAATCCGCTTCCAGTGCCAATCTCCAACACCCTGTCTGTGGCTTTTAACTCCAACTTTTCAGTCATAAAAGCCACAATATAAGGCTGGGAGATTGTTTGCCCGCAAGCAACAGGTAAGGCTGAGTCTGAGTAGGCGGCGGCTTGTAATTCCGCAGGAACAAATAATTCCCGCGGCAAACTACGAATAGCCGCTAAAACTTTCGGGTCCTTAATTCCTCGGGCTTCTAATTGTTCGTAAGGGATAATCATAGGTAATTATTCTTCAAATAATTTATAACTTAATGATAGTTAATACTTAAAGGAGTTTAGCAAAAAAATACTGCAACCTAATTTTTGCACTATAATAATTTAATAAATAAATTATGA